ATTTTAATTAACATCAAATTTTAAATTAAATCTCAAATAATCTTTTTATCTCCTTATTAATTAAAGATAAGGGAGGATTATATGTAAGTACATGTACGTCTGCTAGCTATATATAGTTGTTTAATGAAAATTCCATAGAGGGTTATTGCTTGCAAGTTTTTCTTTTCTTTTTTTCTATTTCTTTCATGTACAACCCAACCCAATAAATAGACAAACTATCTTCTTTATAATTATCAAACAAAGTCCAAAAAGTATACTAATAACAAAATAAAGCTGTAAACAGATCAATCAAATATAGAAAACAAATTTTAGGCAAAATATATATATATATATAATGGAAACTAAAATAAAATGAAAATCGCCAATTAGGGTTTACCATTGAATTCATTTTACCCCAAATCTTTCCCTATTGTGGGTCTAATCAACTTTAAGGGCATATTGACTATTGAGCTTAGGCCTTCCCCTTCTTCTTCCTGTCAACATTAATTTATTGGGAAAAAAATACAAAATCCCATTAAATTCTTTTGTTGTTTTTTTAAGATCAATTTTTTATATAATTTATTTATATAATAAAGATATTTTGAGGTTTAAATTTTAGATTTACGAAAAGATAGTTACACCAATAGATTAAATTAAATTCGATTTCATTTTTTTCCACCTTTCCTTCTTACCATTTCTTAACCAAAAAATTTACCTTCATAAAGTTACCGTGGTTTGAAGTATTTTTTTCTCCTTATTTTCCCTTTTCCTCTTCCTCCTTGTGAAGAAAAGGGAAGGGGAAAGAAAGGGAAAAAATAAACCCTTTATCAAACCCAGTAAAAAGGGTTTTTTTTTTAAAAAATTAAACCCATTTTATCTTTTATATATAAAATCAAAGGCATAAAATTACAACATCATCAAGCAAAACAGTATTTTTACGTGTAGGATAATTTAGAATATTGCATAATAAGGATTGAAAGAGTAAGAAGAGACCCCAAGAGAAGAAGATGATGATAGGAGGAACCAACGGTTACAACAATGACCATCCTGTCGGTGCACAAAACGACAGTTGCGGTGGGCCGAACAATGGTGGCGTGACGTTGAAAAAGGGACCGTGGACGGCGGCGGAGGATGCAATTTTGGCGGAGTACGTGAGGACTCATGGAGAAGGGAATTGGAATGCGGTGCAAGAATACGTGGTTGGCTCGATGTGGGAAGAGTTGTAGGCTGCGATGGGCTAACCATTTGAGGCCGAACTTGAAGAAAGGAGCTTTCGCCTGAAGAAGAAAGGATTATCGTTGAATTGCATGCTATGATGGGGAAAAATGGGCTCGTATGGCTACTCGGGTAATTTTTCTTCTTTTATGATTCTTCTTTACGTTTGATTTTGATTTTCTTGGAATTTGATTATTGTTTTTTTTTCTGCCATTGATGATCATGTAGCTTCCAGGTAGAACAGACAATGAAATCAAGAACTTTTGGAACACGAGAGTGAAAAGAAGGCAACGCCAAGGTCTTCCTCTTTACCCGCCTGAAATCCAAGCGTTATATTCTTCTCAACAGCGTTCGCAGCCGGTGGTAACATCTTCAACCACGTCGACAACCTCCTCTTTCTCGTTCCAAAATCCGATGACGAAGCCTCTTCAAGGCTCGATGTTACCGTCATCGGCCTCTCTTCCTAATCTCTTCAGCACCGCTTCATCGCAACCGCAATTTCTCATATACGATCATTCATCGACAACGCCTCCGCCTGTCCATAGTCCGAGTCCAGCCTCCACACCGCCGCCTCTTCCGAGCCCTTCCACGCCACCGCCTCTGCTTCTAAACTCTCCACGTCAATCTCTCCATGCCCCTTCATTTTCAACTTCTTTCACATCCAACACTTCCAATACTACTCCATCGTCTCTCGATTTTTACTTCCAAAGAAGTTCGCCTTCCCTGCAACAACCCCTACGTTACAAGCGATTTAAACACGACGGAGGCCATGAAAACAACACCACCGCTACCACCACCAACAACAATGGCGGGTCAAACTTCATGTTACCCTTTTCATCTTTGATGAAAACTGACCCCTTCAATCACAATTCATTGAACCCCCAACAATATTACTTGAATTCTTTTTCTCTAGATCAAACAGTACTTGATCTTGCTTCATCGTCGAGGATTCTTCAACCCCGTCTTGGTTCGACACAGTTTATGTCGACTCCGGATTTCGGTTATCCGTTCAAAAACGAGCTCTCTTCAAGCCAATTTTTCGCCCAAGATGGTAATAACTCGGACGTTACACTTGATCCTAAGGGGGATAACAACTATGGCAGCAATGATCACAACAGCGATCACCAAAGCTCGAGCTTGAATATCAACGGAAATGTGTTGTTGGAGGACATGTTGAAGGAGGCTCAGGCGTTGACGGACAACCATGAAATTATGGGGAGTCAGAGTTGTTTAGTTGGATCAAGTTCCAGCTCCGACTGTTTAGCCTCAGGTCAGTCTTTTCTTTCTCAATGCTTAAACTCTTTGCATGTATCCAATTTTGGTGGTCAGCCATACGTATGCTTACGTCCAAAAGTATCGTTTTCCGTTTCTATCAATATTTTGTTACCTAAATACTAATTTTAAATGATTTTAAAACAAAAAATAGTTGGGTGACCAAAAGTATCGTTTTCCGAAACATTATGAGGTGTCAAAATATAATATTAGGTATGATTTTAAAACAAAAAATAGTTGAGTGACCAAAATAGAACAAAAATGATAGTTGGGGTACTAAAGTGTAGTTTGCACAATTATCAAAACCGAAGGTAATGACAATATTCCTGAATTTTTCTGTAAGAAAAAATGAGATGTCAATTACCACAAGTCAAAAACATATCTAGAAATGGAAACGAATCGAGTACTAGGAGCATTTTCCTGAAGCATTTAGTTAATTACTGCCGATGGTGATGATAATCATCATCATCATTAGTTTAGCCTTTAATTCAAGGCATACTCTATGCAAATGCATCACATTTTAGATCACTGAAACTTGCACGAAACTATGAAAATTTGGGTCCATTACTCCATTTTTAGGGTTTTGACTTAATTATCAAGTATTCTTCTTTGGAAATATATATATATATATATATATATATATATATATATATATATATATATATATATATATATATATATATAATTCGATATCTTTATATGATTAATATTTGAATGCAAATAACAAATACCCACTTCCTTTATTTCTTGCTTACTATTCCTCTTGTTCTTCTTTGAAACGAAATTTTTAGATCTGAATGCAAAAGAAGAAACAAAACAACAGATTATGAACACAACAAAACATGAGGATAACTCGAACGTAAACCAATCGTCCGTGGCGATGACAGCCCCCGAATGGTACATCGACAACGGCGAAGGCTCCAACGGGCAATCATCGGCTGTAACAGATGAGACTCTAGGGTTTGAATTCGAACTGCACGACCAGATAGCTCCGCTGTTGCACATCAACACTGCACCGGCCGGCCTCGGCCAATCTTCCAGCTCCCATTCTTTGGATCATAACTTTCCTGGAATTTGTTAGAAACTCATCATGTTGGACGCAATATTCTTGGGTTTTGCTTGTTGGTAGTTTTTTGTAGGCCTACATAATCCAATAAAAGAAGAACAACAACAACAACAAAAAACTCCATTTATCAATTTACGTAAATTTATATCTTATTGTAGTTAAATAAGTATCCGTTTGGATGATGGTGAAAGTTAATTTCTCTGAGATTAAAATAAAGACGGTGAAATTAATTATTGTAATAATGAGATAAATCTCAATTATAGGGTTTGTTGTTTGAATACAAACACAATCATAGTTATTAAATGAGAAAAATGATGATCAAAAGGAACGATGTAATAATGTATTGATAACATTTTATTTTTATATTTTCTCATAATATATATAATTTTTTATACATATTTCTTCAAATATTTATTTGGATCTTTTAATTAATCAATATTTATTTTATATTTATATGAATTTATTATTTTTTATATTGTATAAAAATTATATATTTTTGATCTATCTAAATAATTTAAATAAAAAATAAAATATATATTTAAAAAATTAAAAAAAAAATAATTTTTAATTTACTCCAATGAAGCCATTAGTAATTGTTCAAATTTTTAATCGATCCAAATTGAAGAAAAATAAATCAAAATATGATATTATTTTGGTCTAAAACAATGTCACATATGATAGAAGGTTTATTTAATTAAATTTTATTATATAACCCTCGTCACGTTATTTATAATCCTAACTAATAAAAATTTCCTATTTTATTTTTCTTTCTCCATGTCAGTTTTTTTCACAAGTGAATCTTCATCTTTTTCATGTAACCATTGGAAGTGGATGACTATTTGGAAGTTAATTATTATTTATTAGTGGATTAATGATTATAAAAATGTAATAAAAAGAGTTATACGATAATTTCTCCTAGTGATAATATGTAAGCATCGTCTAATTGTGGTTCATTTCTTTAAAGGTTTAAATTACTTGATGGCATCTTTTGCACTAGGTTTAGACTTTAAAAAAACGTGCTTTCAAACCTTTCGTTCAACTTCAATCACAACTATGACATATCTACGTTTAAACAAAAATGGATTGGTATATGAAGACGATTTTAATCTCAAATATCACGGTTGACATAAATTTGAATATACAATCAATATCAGATTCATGCTTTGACAATATACCTGTCGAGTTCATTGATGGTGTAGTTTTAGAAGTTTGGAATGAAAATGACAGAAAGCGGAAGAAACGAAACCTTAATTCATTGAATGGAGTTGCAGTGTTTTGTTTTTCTTACAGGGAAAGCCTAGAAATGACAAAGGAACATCATGAATTGCTCTAATGGTCCCAATTGTTGGTACTTCGCAAAGCCATGTCCTAGCTTTGTCTGATATTACACACATTACGACACTGTTTTGAACTGATTGAGAAGGCGGTTGTTCCGGCGAATGCAACTATGGAAACACATGGATGGACATTATTCAAGGAAACCTGTTTTTGTTAAGACAGCATTTCTCATTTTCCTCAAATCCCTCCCTTTGAGTTTTCTACCAACACCTTCCAACACTGAGAAGGATGGAATCTGGCTCCTTGCAAGCCTCCTTGCAATAATTTCATGTGGTGGGAGCTTGGTCTTATATTCTTCATCATCATCATCATGCCATGAACCATTCCTCATCTTTGTAGAGACCTTTGACCAATCAGGGATGTTTACAGGGGCCGATTACTGCTTAACATCATCATGAGTAGTGGAAGTAGAACAACAGCTGCCGACATGGCTGATTGCAGACAAAGATCTTGCGATCATTCTTGCAGCACTTGGGAGATGTCTTGTAACAGCAATGTTGGAAGTTGAATCTTTACTTTCCCTGAGAGCTTCCCCTACATCTTCTTCCTGAAAATCCCCATCTCTCAAGGATCTCCATGGTGCACCACTGCTTTTCTTGGAATAACTATACCTATCTTCCATTGCCAGATTTCTAAAAAAAAAAAAAAGAGCATCATGTACTTCACTTAAACAACCAGAAGATAAAAAATCCTCAAAAAAAATCCAGAAGATAAAAAATCCTCAAAAAAACAACAACCAGAATTTCCCCAAATTCCATAAATTTAGCAGAAATAGGTAAAGAAGCTTACCTATAGAAAAATGGAAACAAAGAGCTTGAGAGATGGCAGGGTTTGGTTTGGCAAAGGGAGTGAAATAGGTTAAAACGGGAAGCTAAAAGGCAGTAAAAAAAACAAAGAGCTAGTGAAAAAGACGTTATTTTGGTCTTTACAAATGTATTTCCTTCTCTGTGGCTACTTCATACACACTTTGACGGAGGAAATTAAAGATCAGAAAAACAAAACAGACTTTCATGGCCAGATTCCATCCATCCATCCATATATAAGTTATTTATATCATACACCCTTAAATTAAGACTTTCATTTTAAATGAATCATTTAATTTTAAACATTTTAATTTCACTCTCAAACTTTGACTTTCATTTTAAATTAGTCCCTAAACTTTTGAACATTTCAATTCCATTCTCTAACTATCAATATTTGCTAATCATGTCCACAGATAAAAGGTTCTTTGATTTTTATTTTTGTTCTCTCAATTTGTTTATAATTCTTTTTACGTGTCACGATCGGGAGAGAAGAGAGAAGAAGTGAAGGAGACAAAGAGGAAATTGGGAGAAATGGAAATCAAGGGTTAGAGATTGATAGTGAATTGGGGATGAGTTACCTGATTAATGACCACGTGAGGAGTACGAGGAGCGAATTATCCATCAGGAGAGATGAGTCCACGAGCAAGTAGTCAGCCCAGTTAGTGGCCCAATATCTGAATAAATAACAAGACGGTTATTCAAGAATCTACAGCTGGCATTTAGTTAGATTTGTTGGTACCTTGTAAACAAATAAAACGGAGTACTGTGTAAAGAACAATCAAGCATATTTTGAATGAAATCCTATTTATGTATCTCTATTCTACTATTTTCTCTACGTTTTCTTCTTCTCTAATTCCCTAAACTATCTCAATTCATCACAAATTGGTATCGAGAGCCTCGATTTCTGGCAAGTTGGTGGCATGCCCAAGAAAAATCAGAACATGGCAGAAGACTTAGCTGGGTTACAGAAACAGATGGAAGAATTGACAACATTGGTGAAACAAGGAAATGATGAGTTTAATCCTCCTAAAAAGTGGGAGACTCAAGACAACAGGATTTCTGCATTGGAATCTAGGATAGCTACGAATCACGGATATGTTGAGGAAATCTTGAAGATTCTGACTGGTAGGAAGGAGGACCAAAACCAATCTGCTGAGGATCAGGTACAGACCCCTGATTCATCTGATATGAGTAACAAACAACCTGTTAAGGTGACAGTAATTAATGATAAGACTCGATTTACTTATAAACCGGATGAACCTGGTATTCTTAAGTCTAAACCAAATGATTTGCCTGTTCATCTATCTAACTTCAAAAATGATAACCAAATAGGGGAGAACAGTGCTGCTAGAAATCAGTTAATGACTTTAGAAGTGGATAAAAGAGGTACAGGGGGTTCTAGTATGTCAGGGATTATGATACATAGACCAAAAATTGAGCTACCTTTTTTTGAGGGAAGTAATCCAAGAGGTTGGCTACATAAATGTCTAAAATATTTTTCATTATGTAGCATTGCTGATGAGCAAAGAGTGGAAGTAGCTACAATGTATTTAACTGGTAAAGCATAGATTTGGTTTGATGGTTATATTATGCAAAAACATCATGTGACATAGCATGAGTTTGAGGCAGATTTATGTAATAGGTTATGTGATAAAGCCTTTGTTGATATAGTGGAGGAGTTTACAAAACTAGTCCAGAAAGGGTCTGTAGAGGAGTATCTAAACAGATTTAAAGAACTACAACCTCACATGCTTTTACAGAATCCTACTTTAGGTGAGGAATTTTTTGTCTCTTTGTTCATTAGTGGATTGAGGGATGACACTAAACATAGAGTCAAAGCTCTAGACCCTAAAACATTATATGAGGCAAGCAGGCAAGCCAAATTATATGAGCTATTTGTTGAATTTGAGAGCAAACGATTGAGACCTTTTGTTAAAAATCTAGTTTATTCTAACCCTCTACCTAGTTCTAAGCCTAACCAGCTGCCATTATCACAGAAGAATGCAACCAATAATCCAAAAAAACAGAACCTGATAGACTACAGAAGACAGAATAATTTATGCTTTAAATGTGGTGAAAAGTTTGTTCCAGGCCATCAGTGTAAGGTTAAACAGTTGAATATGATGATTGAGGATGACACTATTATACCTTCAGAAATTATATCTACTGATTTGGAACAGCAGAATCTACAGGAGAATGAGAGCCTAGAAATATCAATGAATGCTATCACTGGGTGTATTGGTCATAATACATTAAGGATTCAGGGTACTATCCAGGGAGACCATTGAATATTTGATTGACAGTTGTAGTACCCACAGTTTCCTAACACCTCAGTGGGCTGATGCTGGTATTTTAGTGAATACACCTTATCCTTTGGCTATTAAGTGGCTAATGGACATCAACTTTTTAGTTCAGCAAGGTGTAATAAGGTTGAATGACATATGCAAGGACATTCTTTTGTTCATGACTTTAGACTCCTAAAATTGGGTGGCAGTGATATGGTGTTGGGGGTGGATTGGATGAAGTTATTCGGTCCAATTTTGATGGACTTCAACAAATTAACTCTCAGTTTTGTCCACCAAGATGAAAACATTATTATACATGGTCAACAGCCCTCAAGTTGTTTGCAACAAATTTCAGGGGCTACCTTGTTAAAAATGACATCCTCTGATTCTGCTATTTTGGGCCATGTGGTATTGTTCTTTATGTCTGAAGATCCTAAGACTGTTTCTGTAGCTTTACAGCCTCTATTAGACAAATTTCAGTCTGTTTTTGCTGAACCTACAGGTCTACCACCTATAAGGAGTCATGATCATGCAATTCCTCTAAAGCCTGAGTCTGCTCCTATAAATTTAAGACCTTACAGATTTTCACATAATCAGAAAGAAGAAGTGGAAAAACAAATAGCTACCATGCTTTCCTCTTCTATTATTCAACCTAGCAAAAGTCATTTTGCTTCTTCTTGACTTCTTATAAAGAAGAATGATGGGACTTGGAGATTCTGTGTTGATTACAGAAAGTTAAATAGTATGATTGTGAAGGACAAGTTCCCTATTCCTATGGTGGAGGATCTCTTAGATGAATTACATGGAGCAGTTTACTTTTCAAAAATTGATCTCAGGTCTGGTTATTGGCAAATCAGAATTAAGGCTGAGGATATTTACAAGACAACATTCAGAACTCATCAGGGTCATTATGAATTCAAGGTAATGCCTTTTGAGCTTACTAATGCCCCTGCTACATTTCAAGCTCTAATGAATGACTTGTTTAATTCATTTCTTAGATAATTTGTCTTGGTGTTTTTTATGATATCCTAGTCTACAACATATCTATAAAAGATCATATTACTCATTTGGAACTGGTTTTGGAGATATTGCAAACTAACCAGTTATTTGCCAAGATGTCCAAATGTTTCTTTGGAGAGACTCAGGTTGAGTTTTTGAAGTTGGGGATTCTGTTTACATGAAGCTGCAACCTTATTGTCAGACGACACTAGCCATACGGAAGAATTTAAAATTAGCAGCAAAATACTATAGGCCATACAAAATCACAGAGAGAATCGGGGAAGTTGCTTATCGTTTGAGCTTACCTGAGACATCGAGGTTGCATCCTGTCTTTCATTTAAGCCTTTTAAAGAAACATGTTGGAGACTCTGTCGTTCCCTCTACGGATCCTCCTGTCATGGATATAGATGATCAGTTTCGAACAGAACCATACAAAGTTTTGGGAAGACGAATCATTAATCGCCAAAACAGACATGTCACTCAGTTGTTGGTGCGATTGACAAACCTGGACGAGACACACGATACTTGGGAAGATTATACTGTCCTTCGAGGCCAGTTTCCAGGCTTTGATCCTTGGGGACAAGGATCGTCTCCAGCGGCGGGTATTGTCACGATCAGGAGAGAAGAGAGAAGAAGCGAAGGAGACGAAAAGGAAATTGGGAGAAATGGAAATCAAAGGTTAGGAATTGAAAGTGAATTGGGGATGAGTTACCTGATTAATGACCACGTGAGGAGCACGAGGATCAAATTATCCATCAGGAGAGATTAGTCCACTAGCGAGCAGTCAACCCAATTGGTGGCCCAATATCTGAAGAAATAACAAGACGGTTATTCAAGAATCTACAACTGGCATTTAGTTAGATTTGTTGGTACCTTGTAAACAAATAAAACAGAGTATTGTGTAAAGAACAATCAAGCATATTTTGAATGAAATCCTATTTCTGTATCTCTATTCTACTATTTTCTCTACGTTTTCTTCTTCTCTAATTCCCTAAACTATCTCAATTCATCACACTACGTTTCAAAAATTAAATTATTTCATAAACAATAATTAATTTTATACCATGTCCCCAACATTAATTATCGTGTACATCATATCACATTATCATATAAAACACATTAGCGTTTATAATGATTTTATTAATAGGGGATGTGATAGCCATATACTGATAGTTTGATGATGAAAATAAAGTATTTAAAAGTTTAAAGATCAATCTAGAATGAGAGTCATAGTTGAAGGATGAAATTAAAATGTTTAAAAAAATTAGAAACTAATTTAAAATAAATGTCATAGGTATGTGATACAATTAACTTTATATATTTGTTTAGTCTTATCATTATATCTTCCATGATTGACATTCGTATATGAAATTATAAAATATTATACAGATTCATTGCTCGCAAACACAGACGACTACCGCCGCCATGAAAGCTTAAATTCCTGGCTCATCTTTGCAGCATTACTCCCGATTGATATCGACGAGGAATTGACAACCATATTGGAAGAATAATTATTTCATTATGAATTGAAACGAGAAAAATAACATCAGCAAACATCTAGCTTAGAACAATATCAGTTGTCAAATCTATCTATAGATCGAGCACAAGATTCGTCGAAAAATGTAAACGAACATCTATATGCAATATATTACACTCGAGAAGAAGAAAATAGCCGAAACCAAACAATTTTATGTGATGGAAACATCCAAAGGTATCTCTTAAACCAAATCGTTGCTGTTTTGTTGCGATTCCGGTAGATCTAAAAGGGTTGCCCATGTTGAGTTCCACTTCTCATCATGTCGCGGAACTCGTCGTAGTTGATTTTACCGTCCTGTAAAGGGGCTAGTGAGAACTAATGTACCGTGATGCATAACAAAATGAGCTTAGAAAGGTAGAAATGGAACTTACATTATCGGTGTCAACTTCAGATATGATTTCCTTGATTGTGTCATCGTCACCCATTCCATATTCTTTCATGGCAGCTTCTAGTTCATCTCTTGTGATGTACCTACAAATCGTTTCAAACTAGTTATCGATTTCTACCATATCTCATGTGTCGTCGATGTAGCGTGCCCCGATATGAAAAATTCAGAGCAACTGAATCCTATGCTTACTACTAGGACACGGATCTGAGTATTGGATATCAGTATGTGTCTCTAACACGGGAATGCACAAAATTTTCTAAGTCCATAAAAAGAAAGAAAGTACAAGGCAGTTTATATTAAGTACAGATATCTCACCCGCTGTTGTCCTTGTCAAAATGTTGAAAAGCTTTATACAAATGTTCATCTCTTTCGAGCCTATGTCTGTGCATCGTAGCAGTGATGAATTCGATGTAGTCTATAGAACCATTTCCATCCACATCAGCCTGCAACACAACCAAGGTTAAGTATTATGTTGCTCCGATATGAGAACTTAAACAATATTTAACATTCCATTACCCATTCTTATGCTAGAACATGAGTGTCATAGCTTAAATGGTATCTTACCGCTTCCATCAGTTGCTGAACTTCAGCCTCCGTGAGCTTTGATCCAAGCCGAGCCAATCCAGTCTTGAGTTCATCATAGGTGATTGTGCCACTGTTGTCGGTGTCAATGCTTGCAAACATTTGCTTCAGACCTTGGATTTCTTCTGTGGAGAGGTTTTCGGCAATGACCTATAAACCAGCAGGCTTATCATCAGATGGCAACTAAACTCAGATGTTAAAGTCAAATTGCACATTTTCAATGGAATAACTCGAGATTCCAATATTGACTTGCTAACTTGCTCTTGTATATGAAAACCATGCATATCTCAACTAACAAATCGCATGCCAACCTCTCTCTTACTACCAAAGAACAATACTGTATAAATAAATATAAACTTACCTTTAAGGCAAGTTGCTTTAGTTTGTTCATTCTTCTGAATTGCTTCATTCTAGAAAGAACCGCACTGTCTAGTGGCTTGTCCGATGCATTTCCACCTTCTCTTATCCACGGATGCTCTACATAAACCACAAAATTTCAATCTCTGGCTCAACCTTGGACATGAACTATGCTAAATTATAAGTTGGGGTTCATATATAGAGCATAATTTTGCATCGTTACAACAAAGATTAACTAAAAAAAACTTGTGAAATACCTAGTACTTGAGTAGATGTAATCCGCTTTTTTGGGTCCTGTGTTAACATTCTGCGGACTAGGTCCTTGGCACTGTCCGAAATAGATGGCCATGGTTGACTTACGAAGTCAATTTCTCCTTCCAAAATAGCATCAAATATTCCCTTCTCCGTTTCTAAAAGGGAAAAAAAATCATCAAAATTATGTACTTATACTCCAACTAGAAGTTTTTAAGGCAGTTTATAAAATGACAGATTAGCTTTCGGAAACTAATGATATTATTTTCTGCGAGTAACCTTTATTTTACCTGCCCAGAATGGAGGAACACCACTGAGTAAGATATACAATATAACTCCTGCACTCCAAATATCTATCTCCTTTCCATATCTACGCTTTAATACTTCAGGAGCAACATAGTAAGCACTCCCAACTATATCCCGATAAACCTTTCCTGCCAAAGGCATCAAGAACAACAAAAGTAAGATAACGTTAATATTACCACATGAACGCACCTGAAATTCGTTGTGTTTACTTTTTTTCTCTCATTGCATTAGAGAATTCACTTTCAAAACCTATTACTGCCAAGCATAATACATGTTATTGCGAATGAGGGTATAAATTAGATATAAGATAAATGCTGTGCAAAGGTCAAAATCCACTTTCATTTAAAGGAAACTTATTCAATGGTATGAAGATCACAGCATAAACATAAGAGGAAACCACGGCGAAAATGCAGGAAGCACGGTTTCAGTTAATGTCCATTTGCGGTTTTTATGTAGTAACAAATGAAGCTCCAAGGAGCAGAGGTTGGAGTTTCAAAATGCTTAGTCGAAATGTCATATATATATATAACTAAAATAATTAGCGAATAAACATGAAGACAATTAATTAAAACAGAGATGGTTAAAACAAAATGGGGAACCTCACCTGCCACCTTAATTAGCAGCAAGTGACATCTTAGCAATAACATTTTTTAATTGAGTTTATTAGCTTAATTGACTCATTCTTCTTTCAATAGTCATATACTATTTAGGGGTCAAGGGAAAAACTTAAGAATCTTATATATTTTTCACATGAAACGTGTTTATGGACCGTTAGCCTAAAAAGGTAGAGCAATTACTAGTATGTTTAAGGGCACCAAACTAAGCAAAACACAAAACACCAAGACGATATCAAATATGACACTATCATTCTAACATGATCAAATATGTTGTCTGGTCAGCTCTGACTATGGAGAATTGCTAGAAAAAGAAACAGTAGTTATGCCAGAATAAAGTTCCACAAGCTATAAAAAATATTGACAAGAATTTACCCTCTTCAATGAACACCGACAACCCGAAATCGGTGGCCTTCAAAAGAGCATTCTCGGCCTTGCTAGACAACAAGAAGTTCTCAGGCTTAAGATCCCTATGCATCACACCCATAAAATGACAAGCATGGACAACATTAACAATTGCCCTACATATAGAAGCCGCTTCCCTTTCACTATAGTGTCCCTTAGCAATAATTCTATCAAACAACTCACCACCAGCACACAATTCCATCACAAGGTGAACAGATAGCTTATCCTCATAAGCACCTTTGAACTCCACAATATTCGGCTGTCCACTCAAATGCTGCATAATCTGTATCTCCCTTTTCATGTCTTCCTTATCGTTTTTGTCACTAATTTCCTCTTGGATATAGTCTTGCAAGCATATTGTTTCCCAGTTGAAATCTCGGTACAAAGATAAGTTACACCAAACTGACCTTTCCCCAGTTCTTTACCAATCGTGTAGTGCATCCTTATGTCTTCATACGGTTTGCCTAGAATCGTGTCGACTCCCGGGGCAGGCTTGGGGCTTGGTGCCGGAGCAGGCGGCTTCCATGATGTTTGAGTCCCTGGCTTTTGCGGGATGTGGTAGACTTGCGGTTGAACCGGTGCTGGCCTAATAGGTTCCTGGTGTCTCTGTTGATGAACAGCTGCTGCTGCTGTTGTTTCTAATGATCTATGAGCATTGTGTTGGGGCATTGGATCTTTGTTTTTTGTCAGGCAACAACCCATATCTGAAACTGTCAAAATTAACCAAGATTGAAAACCCAGATGAAGAAACTGGATCAGAATTCAGTTGATTTACTTGGAATGAAAAACAAAAAAAGACCCAGATTCAAAAGTAAATAAAGAAATGAAAAAGGTAATTGTTTTTCACAGTTATGAAGAATAAAAGCCAATAATGAACAAGATGGGACCAAGAATATTCCAACGCGTGTGATGAAAAAGAACCCCAGTTTAGCCTTGTGATCATAAAGGTATGATTTTTGAAGGGTAGAGAAAAATAATGAAATGAAATCAAAGTTTCTGGCTTTAACAAGATGGGTAGGCGATGACTGTTTTCGACAAAAGGAAAGAAAAGGGAGGCTTGGCTTTCCTTGCTAGCAGGTTTGGTCAACCGTTGAGTTCTGTCGGACACGCTGAATTACGCGTAACTTGTGCACTTTTGCTTTATACGTAAATTACACCATTACGTCATCGAATTTTTGTGTATTTTTATCTAATAAGGTAAATTCTACTATTAATCATTAACTTTTTATTTTTTATTTCAATTATAGTATTAAATTTTTGTACATCTTCTTGAAGGCTTGATCATTAAATTTTTCTCAAATTTTCACTAAACAAGTTATAAAATATTTCCAATCTAAAGAAGAGGATAGTGTTCATTTTTTTAAGTGGAAATATTTGAATATATAAGTGATGATATGATATATTTTATTTTATATATATTTTAAAAAAAAATAATGACTTTATAATAAATATGAAAATCATAATATTTTTTTCAGATTTTTACTAAATAAAATTTTAAATATTTATTTATCGCATTAACCTATAATGAATATATAATTTACATTTATATACTCAAATTTGTTATTCAATTTCGTTTCATTTATATGTATCACTTATTTGAATATATTGTTAGATCAATATATGATTTACATGTTTAATTATCATTTGATTTTTATTTTTGAAAATTAAATTGTTATATTAGTAACTTTAAATATCAAAAGATGATATTTACGTAATATTTATGAGTTAATTTAATTTAATTTAATTTAATTGACATTGTTGTTGGTACAATACATAATAAAATGTAAGATCAAACATGTTTAAACGTTGGATACTATTTAATTTATGAGTAAGAAAATTTTAAATAACATATAGATATTATATAAAATATTTAAAATTTTAATTTATGAGTAAGAAAAATATTTTGAGATACTATGAACACCAAGTTGCGATAATTTCATTAGATGGTCCCCTAATTATAAGACGCTACTTTGTTGAGTCATCCAACTATTAAAAATTATAAAATGATCCTCTAACTATATGATGATGCTTTTTTGAGTTCCCTAACTATTAAAAGTTATAAAATGGTTACCTAACTATTTATATGTTCCAAACTCGTCATTTTCTGTTAAAAAAATGATGATCGTTTGAGCTAGACGTTAATATGTTGATTGTAATACGATAAAGTCTAATCACATAATCGTTTGAGTTGTATTTTGTGGATTGACTCTCCGTTTACATTATATCATCGAGTCAGTGCTTGAAAGCAACAACTATGTCAATAAACATCACTAAAATATGATTTTATCATATCTCAGTCAACATGTTAACGTCCAGCTCAAACGGTCATCAATCTTATAACGAAAAAGAACGAGTTTAGAACATATGAATAGTCAAGTTATCGTTTTGTAACTTTCAAATGTTGAAAACTCAACAAAATAACATCATATAATTGGATCATTTTGTAACTCTTAATAATTATAATTCAGGAGATTCAATAAAGTAGTGTGTTATAGTCAAAAGACCATTTATATAGTTTACCATTGATTTATCGATGGTTGAATTATTATTTTTTTAAAATGTTTAAATTCATGTAGTAGAAAATGATATATAAGTATCAAAGGGGGAGAAATCAATGAGGTAGACCTTTCATGACAATAAGAGTTGGTTAAATTCAATTAATGTCCATTTAAATTTCGCCACCTGCCTTTATCCATAGTACTCCCCTAAACCCTACCACATGGGTCCTTTTGGACTTTTTGGTGTCACTCCACACACAATTATATGATATAAATAAGGGTAAACTACACATTTAGTATTTAAACTTTCATTTTTATTTTGTTTTGTTCATTTAATTATTTCTTTTTTAAAAATCATACCTAACTTTAGTTTTTGTTTATTTTGGTTATCTATCATTAAAAAACTAACGTTAATGTGTCACCATAAGATAATATCACATCATTATTGAAAAAAATAAAAAATGTTATGTCAGCAATTACTTTTTAATGTCGGGTGATCAAAATGAAACCAAAATGTAATGTTATATATGATTTTTTAAAAATTGTTGGATAACTAAAACGGAACAAAAGTGATAGTTGTGACATTAAACATGTAATTTACCCTACAAATAAAATATAAAAATATTTATATAAATATATGATTGTGTTAAATTTATAACAATGTCAAAATCTTACTTTTAACCAATACTTAGCGTTACACGTTTCATGTGGATTTTGAAATTTGTTTACTTCCAAATAAGTTTATGGATTTTGAAATTTTATTAATTCATTATTTTAATTAATGTTAACACTTACATTTTGTTTAAATTAAGTGGTGACATATGTTATATTATAAAATTATCATGTGATGTTTTCATATATTTATTAAAGTTTTTCAATTTTTTAAATATTAATAATTTTGAGTTTTTTCTTTAAATAAGTATATATTTCTTGTGGCAGAATCATAATTTGTTACGTAATAATAGTATCCTAAAATTTTATTTTAAAACTTAATGATTAAAATTAATAAAACAATTTAACTGATTCAATTTCTCGATTCGATAACTTAATTAATTTAAGTTCTTAATTTGATAATTTAGTTGCGTGCAAAAATCATAGATTTAATTAATTTTCTAAAAATGAATTTAAGAAAATTTATATAATTTTTAAAATTTTAATAATATACTCATTTTAAATACAATAATAATATTTCATAATCAAGCTTAGCTGCTAATGGGTACCCATTGTTTTTTAAGGATAAACTACATTCAAGGTCATTTAATTATGAGCTTAAGCACGAAATAAGTGATATTGATGATAAAAAAAATTACTGTTATTTATTGAGGTCCCGAGTTTAAGCACTAGGAATGCCAGGAGTATAAGCGTTCAATGTCGAATGGTATTGTACTTAACTCAGATTAATAAAAAAATATGAGTTTAATAATAATCAGATAATTTTTTATTAAAAAATTTAAACATGTAATTCAATTAAAATATTATCACAAATATTCACTCAATTAAAATACTAGTACAAAAATGTCAATAGATATTAAGATAGAATAGTAATGTTACCTGATATAATAATAATTTTAGTCCTTACATTTTATTAACTTGGTAATAATCCAAAACAATTCAATGTTCAACCCTCCATATTTAAAAATCTAATCATTTTAGTCTTTGTTATTCTCTTAAATTATTTATTATTCTCTCGTAAAAATTATATTACTTTATTGTTATTTTTCTATTATAATAACAATTTAACAATAACTTATTACTACTTTATGGTATAATATATTTATCCAACTAATGCTTTGATTTTATGATCTCACTTGCTAAATTTATTGAATTGTTTTGAATTAGGACAAAATTGATAGAATTTATAAATTTTGATGGCTAAAAAAATGACGTAGTGTCGGGTCACCCTTAGTTCAGGGTGGGCATGTGCCTATCCTAAAGTCTGATTTTTCTTATGTTCGTTACTCATTTTATTATTTGTGTCTATCCTAAAATTTTATGTGTTACCCATATGAAAATTTTGTATTATTAATGTATATATGCTCACTATCAAAATTATTTATGAATCTGCCACTGACGTCCATTTTAATTTTAATGATCAAATGATATGTAATGAAGCTTAATACATGGGTCAATGTATTATTAAGTTTACCCTTGTTTTTAAGGTAAATTGATGGGTCAATGTAGCACTTTAATACATGGAAAATATCTTCTGACTTTTAATATATATTGAAAATTTGGGTATGGTTGGCCAACCAATGTCACTCAATTCCACTTTAATGATAAGTTGCTGGGGGTTCTTCACTTCTTTCTCTAATGTGCAATTGTATTTAAAAATTTTAAATTTTATTTCATATAAAAAATTAAATACAAATGAAATCGTGGGTTTATGTTTTCTTGGACATAGTTTTCAAAATGATGGGACGTGGTTTATTGTCCTTAAACTAAATCTTGTCCTAATTGAAAGCAACTTCACTACTTTAGACATCGAAGGCCAAAGTGTAGCTTTCTAATTCGTCTTCATCAAATCATGCAAATCGATAGAAACACTTGTGAATTCCACAAAACCAATTTGATTTTGAACACACACCTCCTCTAATGCAATCACTGTTTTTTGTTTTAATGGCGTCTGAGCTTCTAATTTCTTATTACGTTTACAAGAGTTTTACGATACGTAATGAAGCTTAAAAGTCGAATTAATTATGAACACAATTCCGGTTCTTATCGTCATTACAAAACTGATTTAGCTTCGTGTTTTATGAGAATCTAAAATGGGTTGATGATTCATAAATGCTTTGTATTTACACCACAAAACTTCCCCACCCTCTCGCCCGTTAAAAACCCACTTCTTCCACATGCAACATTCAATGCAGCCTTTTACATTTCACACTATTTACTTGTTTTGTCCCTCTTTAAGATATTTCTCGCGATGTTGAAGGACTGGGTTCCAGGAATATCAGAGGTACCATTTAGATGTGTTGAAGCTGTTTCTTTCTGGGTTTTTGCTGAAATGAGAGACCTTGGAGTTGGCTTCTTGTTTAAGCTGCTGAGCAGATCGATCTTTGCCATTTTCATCTGCATTTTTGCTTTAGGTATGTGCTTTCTTGTCCATCAAGCTTGGCTTTTGCTGCAGACTTTTTACTCTGATTTTGTAGGAGGGGCGATAGTGGGAACTATCGTCGGAGCAATGAAAGGGCAGACGACGGAAACTGGGTTTTGCCGGGGAGCTGGAATCGGAGTCGTCACTGGAGCAATCACATCCGTTCAATTGCTGGAATCATTGGCTGATGGGGAGTCATTGTCTAAGGTCACTAGTAGCATTAATTTCATCCTCACTACAGTAGAAACTTTTGCTATTTTATCTAACCCTTTCTATTACTATAGGTAGCATTATTGGTTAGCTTAGTAAATGGGAAGGTTTTCATTGAATGGGTGAGTCCAGCAGTGCTGAAAGCATATCAATGGCAGGTAAAGCAAATTTCTCAGTAACCAAACACTATTATCGATTACGCTTTAGGCAATGTTGAAGCTGATGAAAAAAATTTACAGATGAATTCACTCGAAACGACGTACAGAGAAATCTCGGACATATACGATGTTAATGGAGGAAAGGGTTTATCTAAAAGTTGCATTCAAAAGCTTCCGATGCATGAATTTCGATCTACTGAGATGATCAAATCAAGGGAAGAATCTTCTTGTTCGATTTGTATACAGGTAAGGTTTCGAGAAGAACGAAATCGATACATCCGGGATTCAAATCTCAATATCTATAATTATTTTTTATAGGGACTAAAAGAGGGACAAATGACAAGAAATCTTCCGAGATGTGGGCACAAGTTTCACATGAAGTGCATAGATGAATGGCTAAGCAGGCAAGGGACTTGTCCCATGTGTAGAGAGCATGTTCTCAGGGTTGATGATGAGTTGTAAATCTTGGAATTTCGATTCACCAGAAAAGTGAGGGTTTTCCTTTTTAGTTGTGAGTTGTGCCAATCTACCCTGAGAGAGAGAGAGAGATAGAGAGAGGGGGGGGGGGAGGTTAATGATGGATTATGACGCAAAAATATGAAAGAGAGAAAATTATGTTGTATATATAGAGTTATAGACCATTGGGAGGCTTTGTACCAACTTTTTGTTATTTCAAATCTCATAAAATAAGTTATTAATATGTTATTGGGACTTGAGTAGAAGTATTATATATTTGTATATTTATTTATTTTAAGATTTTTCTATATAAAAAATGTAAATACAAAAAAAAAATTAGTGTAATATTATTCACCACTTAACTATGAGATGTTTCAACTTTATTAATGATTATTGTTTTATTTTGAGATAAAAAGTCTCTCTATGGATGAGGATAGTTAGTCAACTAACGATTAACGTTATAAAATAAGAACTTTTGGCCTTAATATAACATATCTATGGTTAAAATACTAAAAAGAGAGAGAGATTAAATTGACTATTTAATCATACATTAAGGATCTTTCTACCTTAACATAAAACGTTAGACTAAAATTTTTAAAAAGATATAAGAGCCACTATAATTATTCTTTTTCTTAAATAATCTCATACCACTCTATGGCTTCGTCATAATAAATATTTAATCAAACTTTAAAATTTTAGCATTATATCTTTAATTTTTGGCATAATGTAAAAAATAACTCCCAACGTCTACTAAAATGATGACCTTTATTCTTTTTCTTGGGAGCATTTTAACCCTCAATATTTTACTTTGAGGTAAAAAATTCTCTCTATAGATAAAAATCATTAATTAAAATACGATTAACACTCTAAAATAAGAGTCTTTTTTAACCTAAAATAAAATGTTGATGGCTAAAATGTCTTAGGAAAAAATAAATGACAGAGTGATTATTCTGTCAAAAGTTAGAGATATATTTACCCTAAAATGTAAAATTGGGGCCAAATTATTTCAAAAAGTATAATATAAAACAAAATTATCATTTTGATAAATGTTAGAAGTACAATTTTAAAATTATGCCTTAATTTTTAAACTAACCTAATAGTTTATTAGCGCTAATAATTTAATCGCACCCAAATCAAAATCACGCGAAACGAACTATCAAATTTACAATCATGGGCTTAATATAATCATCTTAGGCTTCACCAACCAAAGGGCAATCTAGTCTACATATAAAAATATACAAGAATATCCCCAGTTCATTTTGTTTTAACTTTATTAATCAGCTCAGTTCACAAACCCGAGCACAAGACCAAATAGTGAAGACAGAGAACCAGAGAAAGAGACAAAGGTGAAATGGCTTGGTGTAGTTTAAGGTCAATTCATGTTCCTACTATCGATGTGGGATGTCTTCGCACTCACTCTCCATTAGCCGCTGCCGGCTCATCCGTTTGGCGATATTCCTCAAGAAATGGTTCTCCTTTCGCTTGCTTAAGCCTCTCCACTTCTCCCGGTAACGAAACAAAGACTATCAGTTAAATAATGAGTTTCTTTTAACTGTTTGATTTTGAGTTTTCTTTGGTGGGTTGCTTTCGAGAATGGGTGAATCCGTTTGGATTTTAGCTTTAATCGAGTCTTAAAAGGTACTACTTTCAATCAAGTGAACGTGAAAGGGAAAGAACAGGGTTATGAGACATATGACTTTGGATTTATGATGGTTAATTGACAGTTTGCTTGTTAGGAACTTTATTTTGTTTGGAAGTCAAGTATTTGATAGCCTAAGGATAAGGAAGGGTTTACAGATGCCATGATTCGAACCTATACCCAACGGATGTCATCTATTTAATGTGTAGTTTCAGTCTATATTAGTCGGACAAGATGTGAGTGTAGGATATGAGTACTTATGAATTATGATTGTGTTCAATTTCTTCTAACGTATTTGGAGGATCTTCGGAGGGTTATATTTGCACACTCATTTCTAGAAATTTGTCGAGAACATAGGCGCTGTGCACGGGTACTTTTGAAAATATGAAGAGTCGGAGCAATATTGGTTTTGTATGATGCCCCCGAGGTTTGTGATTATTTTTTGATTTTAGGGATTAAGGAGGCTGTGGCAACTGACAAAGCTCCTGCAGCATTGGGACCATATTGTCAGGCCATCAAGGCCAATAATATTCTCTGTCTCTGGTGTCCTCGGTCCTATTCCGGAGGTTCGTGGCATTTTCATAACATGTTATTTACATGTTAAGCTTTCATTCCTAGACTGTGTTACTTGGGCTTGTAGCAATATATTGCATTCTGGTAGGTGGTATTTTAGGGAAATGAAGAGTTCAGGTAATGTATATCCTAGGTTTCAGTTATATGCCCAATGTACTGATCATGTGTATTGGTTTTCTATTCTAGACTGGAAAGTTCATCTCAGACAGTGTAGAGGATCAAACCGAGCAGGTATCTTACTAATATATGAACTAATGTTTCAAAATTTTGCAGCCAATGACACGGTAGTCACTGAATTTCTAACGATTCTGTAAGTACTAAAAAATATGGGAAAAATACTGAAAGCTAGTAGTGTTGACTTTTCCTCGGTGGTTAAGACAACAATTATATATGATTTTTCGCTTCCGTTCCTTTTTGTTAGTTTGATTAAGGTTTGTTAACTTGAAGTAAATAATATCTTTATTGTTTCTCGGGGTTCCTTCATGCAGGCTTGCTGACTTGAAAGACTTCAAGAAAGTAAATGAGATCTATGCTAAATGTGAGTAAAATAGTTAAGTTAAAATATGTTTTATGTTCAAAATAATTTGTATATGGTTTATCAGTTTTTCTTAAACCTCATATTCATATACAAAACTGATCAATGGAAACAAGATCATCAATATAACTTGGTATTCAAGTTTGGTTAATAAAGTGCATCAGACTTAACCCTTGAATTTTCATATGGTACATTGGGCTTTACAATCAACCAGCTTGTTCTAGGCCATTCATATTAATCTGATAATTGCATCGAAATAAAGTTCAAAAGTTATATGAGCAGAGTCTACTTGTTGATTGATCAATCTCTCATAGAAAGTTGTGACCTATCAAAATCACTGACTTTTATGTTAACAACATCATGGAAACTAGACATTTTAATTCAGTCCGCAAATGATTTGTGTTGCAGACTTCCCTTCACCTGCTCCGGCTCGTTCAACATATCAGGTAGCAGCATTGCCATTGGATGCCAAGATTGAAATTGAATGCATTGCGGCACTCAAGGCATAATGACAGGTAGTTTGAACTTATTAAGGTAGGAAACTAAGCTATTAAGAGTTTGTCTGATTTTCAGTTAAAGCTAGAAAGCAATTGCTGCATGGCAGGGTTCACTGGGTAAACTTTGATTGTGATATCATTTTTACTTAGTAATGTTTGAGACAAGAATCTGCAGTTTGTCATGAATTTACGTGTCCGGTTCATGCTTAAGCCGAGCTTCGAATAATTTATTTGACATAGGAGAACAATTTACCATATATATTATGGCTTCTAGATGTGAGCAAAACTCAGTTAAGACTGAGTTCATCGAATTAACTTACATAATTCAGTTAGTCGATTTCTTTAGTTCGGTTCCTGTTGACGTTGGTTTAGGGTTATACACACATACAAAGAAACCAACTTTTGTTTTGGTTAAAGGCAATATAAATAAAACGATAAACAGAATATAAGAAAGAAAAGAGTAGAAAAACATTTGTTAGTGCTATTATTGATTTATTTTGGCATTCATAGTTCAATTACAAGATCAAATAATTCTAAGGGCCACCTTTAACTTGGGTTTTTAGTGGCGGGAAGACTGATTCTGAAGTATCAGTTTGATTGAAGCAAACACATTGATGGGTGATACAAGTGCACAAACCTTGACAATCTGGGCATTTGTTTTCACAGTTGAAATTAGTTGAGCATGCAACTTCTGCCTTAACTTCCTTCACCATCCCTGCAAATTTATTCACCATTGCTTCTTGGTTGTTCGAGTCGAGTTTGTATTTAATATATTGATGTTTTCTTTTTCAATAAAAATTATAAAGTATGTTATGTTAAAGACATAAGAATAGTATAGAAAATTTAGAATGCTACTTACCAAGAACAAACAGCATGAGCGATAGAACTGTGGTTGCTGTTGATAACTTCATTCTTGTTTTGCCCTTGTATTTCTAATTCATATAAAATGTGTTTTTAATGGTTTATTGGTTCATGTGGGTTTTACCATATGCATAGTGGTGAGCATATATTTAGGAAATGAAATTAGCCAATCTTAAATGGGTAATTGATAATCTATGAGTTTATGAAAAATTATTTTACTTTGATTTACTTCCCTAATTTAAAATAATAAATTGATTATTACTTTTTTCAGACGATTCTTTTTTCCAATTTTAATCCATGAGAGTTGACCTTACAAAAAAAATAGAGTTGATTCTAAACATCTATATTGTTTAGTAAAACCCTGATTAGGTTGATGTGGTGGGTCAACTCTACACCATCTTAATTGAAAAATAATTAAAATATTTTAATTAAAAATTATAAATATTATTTTAAGAGTGTTATTATTTTTCATATTTATGCAAATATTCACATAAAAATAGTTAAAGTCTATTACTTGGAATTCAAATACATGACCAAAAGCCTTAAAAATAAACCTTAATACAATATTTATTTGATTTGACAAAAGTCTCGCACGAAATTTCATCTTTAAAGTTGAGGTACTAGAAATAAATTTAAAAATATATTGGCTACCAAATTGTCTAAGACCATACATTGATATTTAGAAATAAAAAAATATACATGATCTTAAACCACCCAATTGTCATGTCTAAATTCCATGTCGGACATGCAAAAAAAAAAACGTGACGAAACGGTCCCCAAATCATGTTATCAATAAGTTATGTGTTCCCACTCTCCATGAAGCAAAATCATGTACGAATTTCAGACAAAAATCTGTCATCTCTTAACAGCCACAACTTCATAATCTATGAAAAAAAATCTGAAGACGTCTAGATTTAACACCTTAATGGCGAGCTCACCCTTGTCACTGACCTCCAAACCACCATCAACCGCCCTTTTCCACCACCGACGTACGCCGTTACCCACCGTCCGTGTCAGTGCCACATCCGCAACAACAACCACAGCAATGCCAGACCACCACTCTCCGCTCGAAATTACTGGTGGAGGAGTTGACCGTTTCCTCCCTGCTCTTAACACCCGTCACCTTACTTACAAGCCTTTCCCCATCATTGGTTGGAACCGCCATCTCGAGACCATATTCGCCGCCTTCTTCCGTACCGTCCCTGATGTTAAGTACTGCCGTGAGTGCCTCCGGACCAAAGACAACGGCACCATAGCCTTGGATTGGGTCAGTGGCGACCGCCGCAGCTTGCCTCCCAACTCTCCAATCCTCATTTTACTGGTCTGTTTTTATTATATCCAAATCAATCTGCATTACCTGTTCTAAATACACTTTCCTTCAATTTGTCGAAATGAGGGAAAAAGTGGTGAATTTTAACGGTTTAATATTCTATCCTTTTGTTTGGTTGGTGAGAAAATGTTTGCAGCCAGGGCTAACAGGAGGGAGTCAAGATTCATACGTGAAGCATATGCTGGTGAAAGCTAAGAGCAAAGGCTGGAGAGTTGTGGTGTTCAATAGCCGGGGCTGTGCTAATAGCCCTGTTACTACTCCTCAGGTACTGTACTATTAACATATATATATTTATATTTACGACTCAATTCATACAACGAGCCTAAAAAAAACGTAATATATATATTTACAGATTTAGATTTCGATCGCGGAGTATATATACTTTTTTATCCTTGATTTGCAGCTCCAAACAGCTTCATTCACAGAAGATACATGTCATGTTGTAGATCATGTTTCCTCCTTGTTCCCGAAAGCAAGTATTTACGGTGTCGGTTGGTCTCTTGGGGGGAACATCCTTGTTAATTACTTGGGAAGAGTAAGGAAACTTAGTTTTTCTTTATGTCCCAACTCAAATTCGACATAAATATGAAGAGTTCGAATAACATAGTACGTCGTGTATAAGTTTCGTAATTTTTGGTATGCAGGAGCACCATAGATGTTCTCTCTCTGGTGCTGTATCACTGTGCAATCCTTTCAATTTAGTAATTGCAGATGAAAATCTCCGAAAGGGCTTCAACAATATTTATGACAGAGCACTTAGGGGAGGTCTTTCTACAACTTTTTCGAAGTAATTAGACGTGAAATTCCTCTCACTGTTACTGTTAATTGCATTAAAATTTGACAATATCAGTTTTTGAGTGCAATATAATCTGAAATTATTCTGCAATGATAGACATGCTTCCCTGTTTGAAGATGCACCTGATGAATATAATGTTCTGGCGGGTCTAAATCCTCGTACTGTACGTGAATACGATGAGGCAGTAACACGAGGTATGTTTTTTTCGTATGTATTCGGATTTGGGATTGGATGAGTGTCGAGTATGATACGCGTGTGAAAAACTTAACAAGTAACTAGAGATGCCAAGTTTAACACCTTGCAGTGTCATTGGGTTACAAATCAGTGGATGAATATTACTCAAATTCATGTAGTTGTCATGTCGTGCAACATGTTCGGATTCCATTGCTATGCATCCAGGTAATTTTATGAGCAGTTCATACTGTGATTCGATTCGGTTTTAAAAGTTGTAATGTTAAAAAGATTGATTCCAGCATCTGTTATTCTTTAAAAACTTCATTCATTAATGGTTGTCTGCAGGCTGCAAACGATCCAATTGCTCCCATTGAGGCAACTCCATTTGAAGATATCAAGCAAAATCCGAATTGCATGGTGATAGTAACACCCCAGGGTGGTCATTTAGGATGGGTTGCCGGTGATGAGGCACCCTTTGGAGCTCCCTGGACTGATAATGTGGCTATGGATTTTCTCGAACACTTGCAAAACGGTGTATCGAACAATAACGATGAATCGAATGCTGAAGCATCTTAAGCCATGGAGGTACAAAGGTCTGCAACAGGATTCAGAGGGCTTTGCATCAAACAATAACTACAGTTGACAAAGAGCATGTTTGCGCATTATGTAAAAAACGATTACGTTAAGGTTGAATGTAACATTAGAGCTCCATTAGAGAAAGCTTGAATTATAAGATCCACATTGTTCACGGAGATTAGTGAATCATGTTAAGGTTTATTTTCAACTAATGTGTTATTGAACATACAAAAACATCAGCTTAATTAGGATTTTCAGTCGGAGAAATTATGGTACCACTAATTTTGAATAGTACGGGGTAATTAAAAAATAATATATTTTCAAAATTTTCCTTAACTTTGAAAACATACCATATAAATACGACTGTTCAAATCCGAGACCTTAAACGAGTATGCCATTTTTTTACCACTAAGACCGTTCAATTAATTTAAAATTACCATAACTAAATAATCACGTGTTGTTTATCAATTTAAAAAAAAGAAAAACTAATATTTTAGTCTATAACTCCTAATTTTGCCAACAAGCTCCTGTAAGGACCCGCTTTAACCAATGTGTCAATCATTAGCCTCATTACTTAACATTCTGTACAGATGGCATCTTTTCATTGCTCCTTTTTAAAGTCCCTCATGTGCGCTGTCACTTTATCTTTCCTTGCTACCAAAATAACAAATTTTAATGAGAAAAATAAAATTAAAAGCCAGGGGGTTTTTCCCCAATGATTTATCTTTAATCAAAGTTTTAATTTTTCTTAAGAAAAAGAAATAACCCGAAGGAACAGAAAAGTAAGACACCATAAAAAAAAAGTCAGCTGTTTTCTTTTAATCCCTAAATTAATGTTACTCTGTACGAAATTTAAGGAATTTTCTCTTTAAATTAGTTGCGTTTAGTAAACTTTTTACCGGTAAAATGGATGAGATAATATAAGTGATATTTTTTAATTCTCAATCAAATCTACTCGGATTATTTTTCATCTAGGGTGAATTGAGTTAAGCTTTAATTTATTAAGCCTTTTTCCTTTCTCGACTGTTCTGTTCAGTTCATTCCCGGGTTTTCGATTTTTTTCATGTTATTGACTTAAGCTTTAATTTATTATGCTTGTTGCAGTATTTTTCCTTACTATTGAAGTTGACGAAAATGTTTTGAAAAGGTCTGCTCTTCTCGCTTTTCTTAATAGTAATTTATGGTATCTTTATTTATTACGTTTCAATGGGGGTTTCTCTTAGCGCTTTAAAGTTTTTTTTTTGCTTTTATTATTATTTATTATTTTGCAATTATAAGTGATTTTATAAGTAAATCATTGTGTAGATTATCTCACAGATTACATGCATGAGATGAGTTTTTCTTTCTGTTTGAGGTAAAAAGAAAATGATGCTTCAGAGCGGCGATTTTCTCGGTATATCACCGGTGATTGGTATTATTATCGATCTAACACCGGTCAGACTATATTTCCCGATCTAACACCTTTAGTAGGAAAGCGCGCCCCCTGAATCACGCTATATGCTGATTTGGCTCCACGTGGATATAGCGCGCCCCCTGCCCCGCGATATACGGTGATCTGGCGCCACGTGGGTATAGCACGCCCCCTGATTCGCGCTATACCTGGATATCTGACACGTGGGATATAGCGCGGTGCAGAGGGCGTACTATACCCCTAAATACCCAACCCTTCATGTCCCCATCTCCCTATAAATATCCCATCCGCGCTATACCCCTAAATACCCAACCCTTCACGTCCCCATCTCCCTATAAACACCCCATCCTCAATCACTTTTATCACACCAAATTCTCTCAAATTCTCTAAATTTCTCTCAAATACTCTCTTTTAAGGTATATTTTATATTATTTTTATTATTATATTTTTACTTTATTTAATATTTTATTAATATAATTCTTGTGCAGATATATAATGGAAGGCAGTCTACTTCGCTCGGATGAAAATCATATATCTCTACACTTTGCTGATACGGTAACATTTTAACGTTTTAATTTAATTTAAATTATTAGTAATATTTAGTTGATTGATTTAATGCATGATTATTAGATTAAGAATTAAATATCTCGACACTTTACTGATACGGTAACATTTTAACGTTTTAATTTAATTTAAATTATTAGTAATAATTAGTTGATTCATTTAATGCATGATTATTAGATTAAGAATTAATTTTTGTAATTATTTATTTTTAGGATAAGGACCGTGTATTAGATCCTTTTATTAGAAATCTTAAGTAAGTGATACCCAGGCGTGTCTTGCTTGCCGTATTTAGTAGAGGCTGGATTCGGTTACATATGTAGATATCAGGGTCACTGTAAGATAGAGCCAGACCTGATTTATGCCTTAGTAGAGCGGTGGAGGTCGGAGACCCACACATTTCATCTTCCGTACGGAGAGTGCACGATCACGCTTGAGGATGTTTCTATGCATCTGGGGCTTCCGATGGATGGAGATGTGATATCGGGGATAGCTTCCGGTTCTTGGACTACTTTGTGTCGGGATAGTCTAGGACGTGTCCCAAAAAATTTTATCGGATGTAAGATACCGTTAAATTGGTTAGATGCTAATTTTCGGGAGTTGAGCGCAGACGCCTCTGAGGATGAGGTTAAGATGTATGCACGGGCATGCATACTGCAGCTGATAGGAGGGTTGTTGATGTCGGACAAATCGCGCAACCTAGTTCACTGCATGTGGTTGCGACATCTTAGCGACTTTCATCTCGCCGGATCATTCAGTTGGGGCTCGGTAGTTTTGGCTTTGCTGTACAGGGAGATGTGTGGAGCCACTGACTATAGGCGTAATTCTATCGGCGGATGTCTCCTGCTGCTGCAGTCTTGGGCATGGTATCGATTGCCCTTTTTATGTCTCGTTGTGAAGAACCCATTCGTATTTCCACTACTTCTGAGGTAATTATAAATGATTTTGTATATTAATAATTTATACAGCGTATAACAAATTTTTTTCCTTGAATAGGTGGTTTACTGATAGGAAAAATCATCAGGAGCTACTTGATGATTTAGAAAAAATTAGGGTGTTAATCGATCAGAAGGCTGGCACACAGGTATGAATTTTAATGTTTAAAAATCGATTTTAGATTATAGTTATATAATTAGATTATTTTTTGATAAAAATTATATATTATTTGTTTTAGTTTGAATGGTGTCATATTCTACTGATGATGTGAGGGCGGTGATCCCACTTGAGTTGAGGGGTCCATCAGATGTTTGGATGGCGATGGTCCCTCTGATCTGTTATGCGACCGTCGAGTGGCACTCCACTGATCGTGTGCTCCGACAGTTTGGTTGTTTTCAACCAATTCCAAGCACCTCGCAATATGACAAGTTGCATAGCTTAGATAGACGCAGCAAGACAGATACAGATTGGCTGGTGAGGCATCATAGGTGGGTCGTGTTGTGGGAGGATCGACATCGGGTCTTCCCCGTAGAGAGCCCATTTTTGATGACCTCTTGATGTATGCTGAGGATTATGAGTGGTTCAACAGTAACGGGAAACCGTTTCTACTTCCCGAGGATGCACGAGGGCAGACCTTTCCACGACGTCGACAGAGACGTTCACCGACACAGCACCATCGTCCCCCGACTCGTGGACGGAGAGCAGGTGCTTCCAGTTCATCCTCAGCTGCTCCAGCAAGACCTTCCCAGTAGCCACCGCAGCCATATATGATACCGCAACCATATATGATGCCGCCATCGCCTTTCCATTACCAGATGTCGCCTTCACCTGGTTTTATGACCCCGCCACCGCCATCGTCACAGATGACCCCTCCTGGAGGCTATTATGGGTATATGTTTGCAGATACGACTTGGGGTTCATATGTTAGATATTTAGCGGGTTCATCCTCATCACCCATGGCCGCATCACAGACACCTCCTGTACAGTTTTCACACTCAGCGATGTCTGGGTTTTCCCAATTTTCCCAGTTTTCGTATGCCGGTGGGATGGTCAGTCATACACCTCTAGGGTCCTTATTCTATGGAGGTGCTTCATCGTCATCAGATCCTCATCAACCTGATGTACCTGCTCAGGACGACGACGATGACGATGGTGACGACGATGATGACGATGACGATGACAGCGAGGAGTCAAAACCAGTGATACGAAGAAATCCTCCTCGAGACCGACAGCCACCGCCATGCGGAACACATTCGCGACGTAGGCATCGATAGATTTTTTGTTTAATTGTAATTTTTTATTATTTCTCATTTAATACTTACTTTATTTTGTTAAATTTGTTGGACTTTTTTTAATATATTTTAGTTAATTTTTTTATTACCATTTAATATCAGTTATTGTAATTTGATTATCATTTACCATTTTATTCTTATTGTAAGTTTGTTGTATTTAAATATCAAATTGTTATTAGTTTGATAAAATTAATGATTGTGTTCATTTTTTAATCTTCATCAGCGATTATCGAATGATATTAACTTGAAGTAAATGCAAATTAAAATACAAGAATTATTATTTGATAAACAAATACATCATTTCCTCATCAACTGTTACTTGATGACAACAGAAGTGGACATGTTTTTTTAGTGTGTCATGGGTTTCTACAATGGCCACATCTCTGTCTTGTCTAGATCTTTCTCGAATCCATATCGCAATAAATTGATTGGATTTTGGACGACCACGCTCCCTCAATAAACTCGGATTTGGTATAATCGGAAGCCAATCTTGAACCTCATCAGGGTCTTTATCATTACCTATGGGGGGAAACTCAAATTCCTATACCTTAAAAACTTCAGATAGTAGGTATACGAGATCCACAAAATGGTTATAGTCTTGACGTGTATGCGAGCAAGCTGCTATCACATGAGAGCATGGATACTTCAGAGCTTGAAAAAACCCGCAGTCGCACGCTCTGTCCCTTAAATTTACTCTTAGCAACACAGCTTCAATCCCTTGAAGAGGTCGGGGCAACTCTGTGACACGAAACATTTCATGCATTCTAGAGAAGCTTGTTACAGACATTCCATTTGATGCAGCAATTTTTTATGTAGATCTGCAACTAATCTAAGGTGATAGACATGACCGCCTTGCATCCAGGTTTGAGCTTGTCCCCCGAGCTTCGCAAAAAGCGCCCCCAAACGAAAATATGTAATTTTTACCAAATCCGCTATAGGTAAGTGACGTGCACCCTTTAAGGTTGAATTGATTATCTCAGCCAAGTTGGTCGTCATGTGTCCATATCGATATCCACCATCATATGCGT